AACCACCCGGAAGCAATGGCCTCTTGCTGTCCCTCTATCCCCTAACAAAGGTTTTCTTTCTCTTTCTTTTTCTCTTTGTTTTAAGATACATCTTATTATCTGATGTCACATTACTTTTCTGACATTTGTCTCCCACCTCCAAGTAGGGGGCCACTGCAAGTCTGGGAAGCCAAGTGAGCACAATAAAAATTGAGTGAGGGAAGGGAGACAGCTAAGCCCAGAGCTGTCCCCACACAGCCCTTTGGTGGGTTTGGCATTTCACTTCCTGACCCAAGACAATCCAAGCAGCACCCAGGTGGTATGGCTGAGGGGAGCTCCCTGTCAAGGTCACAGTTGGACAGTGCCAGACAGCTTGGTCCCCACTATCAAGGTCATCTGCCTGCCCAGACACTCTAAAAGCACTCAGAGTCCCCCAGGAAGCCTTTTCCCAGTAGGAATGAAGCTACCTTCAGCCTCCTTATCTGTGACTGGAGTCGTAAAAGCAGGCGAGTCTTCATGACCGTGATCACCATGCTTAGTAAGAGTAACCCTTTTCTCTGAATGTTTATCCTGTCAAAACACTGTTTTAAAACTTCATTTTGGGGGCTGGAGAGATGACTCAGTGGTTAAGTGTACTGGTTGCTCTTCCAAAGGACCCAGGTTCAAGCCGGACGATGGTGGTGCACGCCTTTAATCCCAGCACTCAGGAGGCAGAGGCAGGTGGATGTCTGTGAGTTCGAGGCCAGCCTGGTCTACAAGAGCTAGTTCCAGGACAGCTAGGACTGTAACACAGAGAAACCCAGTCTTGAAAAAACAAAATAAAATAAAAACCCACCACCACCAACAAACCCCACTAGTTTATTGAGTTTCTGCATTGGCTTCTTGCAATGACAGACCATAGCCTATCAATAAAATAAGCCCCTTTTTCCTCCAAAGTTGCTTCTGGAACACTAAATTAGGACAGCACCCCAGCCCTGGCAAGTTTGACAGGGAAAATGGTGGCAGCTATCTCAAGAAAAAAGAGGTCTTTGTGAGGAAATGGGGAGCCAGCTTAGACCCCCTTTCCTACTCAGGCTTGATTCTGTCTGACCTGACTTCTCTCAGGATTCAGCTTAGGCCTTTCATAAACACAAGGAATTTGAGCAGGGCAGTGGTGGTGCACGCCTTTAAACCCAGCACTTGAGAGGCAGAGACAGGTGGCTCTCTGTGAGTTCGAGGTCAGCCTGGTCTACAGAGCAAGTTCATGGACAGCCAGGGCTACACAGAGAACGCTGTCTTGAAAAGCAAAACAAGAAACAAAAAAGGCAAGGAATTTAGGTTCTACTGCTGCATCTTCCCTGCAGGGTAGGTACCAAACACCCTCCATTCTGGAGCCTAGCACTTTCCTTCCTAAGTCTTAATTCCCTTACCTGGGAAAGGGGTGACAGGCTCTGCCCTGACTTGGGAAACAAAAGGACTTGAGGGGGGGGCAGAGGTGTAACCACTGCTATTGTGGTTACTACTGAAGCAGAAAGTTCCAAGGTACGTTAATGGGTGCAATTCTAACCCCTGAATCTCTGAACCCCTTAAGGAGGCCTCCCACCCACTAGATTGGTCTGTTTTCCTATTTTGCCCATGAAGATGCCCAAGTCACCTGCCCATAATCTCCTTAAGCATGCTGTGGTCAGAGTTCCTCTGAAGTGCCATTTCCCCTCAGCTAGCAGTTTTTGAGGCAGGTGGAAGTGAGGCCGGCCCTCCACCTGACGTTTCCTGTGGATGGGGCTTTCCCCACTTGACCGTGTCCCTTTTCCGGCACAGGGTTCCTGAGTCCTAGAGCTGTGTTGGAGACTAGCATGTCATCAAGACACAGTACCCCCGAATCTCCTGGAGGCCAGGAGGTGACCCATTTTGACCAAAGCATAGGTTAGAGGTGTGGGCAGCATGAGAAGGGGAAGCTGCTGAAGGAGGAACCCACTCTTACTGGCTATGCTAGGGCCCCTCTGCCCCCTTCCCTCCCTAGGGACAGGAAGAGACAGGGAAGTCCCGTCCTGACATGCGACCATGGTACCTGACTTGGCTGGCTCTAGGCTGGAGTGGTCCCGACACTAGGACCATAATGCCCCTCTGGTCTTGACCCCTTGCTTAGAAGCTGTTGTCCCCCAATTTTCCTATCTTCTCTCACACAGCTCCCCGTGCTTCTGTGCCCCTCTAAGACTAGATTAGCCTCTCTGGGTGTTTTCTAAACACCCCCACTGCACCATGACACCACCCCTCTGCCTAGCAACCTTCTGGCCTCACCACAGCTTCCTGTCTGAAGATGTCAGGGCTCAGGGGAGGCTACTAGAGCTGTGAGTGCTAGGGCCCCACCCCTTCCACCTTCTGAGCTTGGTAAAGGTTGTGGTGTCTCTGCTTCCGCAGGATGGAAGCAAGGAGCCAGACAGGCCTTACATGTGGGGCCCGTGGGCAGTGACGTAGCGTTGCCCATGGCTATCATTCCATTCGGGGTTTGGTAAAAAATTAGCTTTCTGGGGTCATTCCTGTTCCATAACTCTGATTATTGCCGACTGGGGAGGCAGGCCCCTCTCCCCAGTTCTAGAGCTTTCTATGGCATTTTCCAGACTCATTTCTAACTCAGGCATTGCCCTCACCCCGGAGCCTCCACTTTTCTCCAGTCTAGACAGTTACTAGCCATCACTTTTTTCCACAGTATCCCAAGACCTAGCCACAGGTAGAGCTGACTCATCTCCCCGATAATGAGTTCACTTATCCCACCACCACTGCGAGAGCCTCCTCCTGACAAACACTGCGAACACACATGAGCCAGCCTCATGCTCACTGGCCAGGGAATTTCCTCTAGCCATTAGGACTTCCCCAGTCACTCTTGAGTGACAGATGACATGCCACTCTTCAACACAGCTCTAGGACTTAGGAATCCTGTCTCAGAAAAGGTACAGTGGATAGTCCTTGAGAGGGTAGCTAGACTCTCCACACCCTACAGTAGGAGCTGGGGCGGAAGCCATGAGTGAGTGAGTGTGTGTGTGTGTGTGTGTGTGTGTGGCTACCTCAGGCGGCTAGAAGGGAGGCGGGAGAACTAGAGGGCAGCATGGGCTACTAAGCATATCTGAGGCCAGCCCCAGGAACAGAGACTCTGTCTTGAACAAACAAACTCAGACTGAGGACTGGGGATGTAGGTCAAAGGTAGAACTTAGTATGCACAAGGGTCTGATTTTTCAGCCCTAGCACAAAAGAAATCTAAATAACAGTATATGCAAAAGCTGGGCAGTGGTTGCACACACACTGAATCCCAGCACTCACATGGCAAAAGCAAGGGGATCTCTGTGAGTTCAAGGCCAGCCTGGTCTATAAGAGCTAGTTCTAAGACAGGCTTCAAAGCCTTGTATCAAAAAACCAATATATATTCAGCATATACATATCAGTATATGCTGAGCCGCCCAAGAGCCAGCCGCTGTGCTGAATGCTGTGTCTATGAGTTTTATCTCACTCTTTTGGCTATTTTAGCTCTGGTTAAAGATGAGGAAAATAAGACTCGTATGCCCCCAATGTCGCAACTAAGTAGAACCAAGTCAGGGTCCTGGTCTGGCTCCAAGTAGGTACAGAAAGTTGCAGACACGATCAGCTCGCCGTAGCATCATCTCAGCCTTCTGAGGATAGCCCCTGGGCTCTACCTCCATCCCTGTGCAGCTGCATTCAGAACCCTCTAGATGACACTCCCGCCTGACATGTACTTAGGGCATCTTCCTTTTTCCAGAAAATGCCCAGAATGGCCTCCGCTCTGGTCTGATGGGGGAAACAGTCCCAAACAAGGAACTTTGGGATGTGACAGGAAAGACTGATGGCAGAGGGAGGAAAAAAACAGACTTCCCAGCCTCTCCTGGAACTGTGAGGAGGCGTGCAATACTTCTGCTCAAGCAGTACTTCCCCCAAAGTATGGTCAACGGGCCTGCCCCTCCCTGGCTCCCGGATCAGAGGCCTGTGAAAGTAAGTCTCCCAGACAGACTTTTACTGCTCTTGGAGCCACACCTCAGAATTCCTTCCTCACACACCTGGGGTTGGAGGAGAGGGAGGGCAGAGAGCCTTAGTGGGCCACTCAGAGGAGCTGGAAGTCTCCAATAGAACCTACTACAGAAATGAGGTAGTCTGGGGCAAGAATAGCTCCCCCCCCTTGATCTTCTCCAGGTGGTGGTGGGGTGGGGAGAATGCCTGGATTTAGATTCCATTTAAGACCTGAGACTCTACCTCACACACACAGGGATAGACTAGCAGGGAAGGGGCTCTCAGTGACAGTGACGTGGTTCCACTCAGTCACTAGACACTGAGTCACCAAGATGGGTGAGGCTCCACCTGGTTCAACCTTTACCCTGCAAATGCTCATGGCACCCCAAAGGGAATCCCAGTATTCATGCACTATGAGCAGAAGTCCACTCTTTGAGGGGCTGGCAGCAGTAATGTATTTTGACCCAATTCTTAGACCTTAGGTTCTTTCCTAAAGTTGTCTGTTTTTTCACAGAAAAACCAAGAAAACACAAAATGGATTGTAGCCCTAGGATCCCAGAAGTCAGGGACACAGGACCTTGGGGTCTCAACAAAGACAAGCCAGCCATAGACTCCTGGAGTCACAGCTGAGGTCTAGAGCTTGCTAACCTCAAACTACGGGGCCCAGAAACACAGCCCATTGGAATCCAAGCCCCGGGGGACTCAATCAAAGACCACAGTAAGGAATTCTGCAACCCTAGGAGGTAGAAGTACAGCCCACGTTTTCTAGAACCACAGGAGAGGAACCAGGCTGCAGAACAGAACATAGCTTTGGGGGGGAGGGGGTGGCTCAGAGTTCACCTAAACCTATTATCCACCTCTTAAAGCTGAGATGGCAGAGGTCCTTTTGGCTTGCAGGGCCTCCCAGCTAGCCAACATACTACAGAGACCTTCTGGCATGGTAGGGTGTCAGGAAGGGAATGTCCCAAGAAGGCAGGGGAAACCCTTGGGGATGACCAAGGGGACCCTTTGGGCTCTGGTGCACTTACCAGCTGTGTCGTAGAGGTTCAGGGTCACCTCCTTGTTGCCCACAGTCACACTAGCCGTGTACTTCTCAAATACCGATGGGGCATAGTGCTGTGAGAGAGGGGTCGGGTTGATCCTTTAAGGAATGTAAAGGCGGACCAGACAGATCCCTCCCCCACAACTGTCTAACACCATCACTCCATCCAGCTCAGACCTGGCAAACCACTGGGCTCAGCCCGGGAATTCTTGAAGGGCTGCCTGAAGGAGACACCCAGGACTCCAAGGTCTAGACTCTGGGCCTGGATCCTGGCTGGAGAATACCCCCTTGTTCCCCGCGGTCCTAAGCCCATCCTCACCCTTCCTGCCACCTACCGGGCCTCACCTCGGGAAAGGAGCCTTGGCAATACACCATAAGCAGCGACGTCTTGCCGCAGCCACCATCACCCACGATCACTATCTTCAGCTCCTTCCTTGCGGAGCTGGGGGCAGCGGCTGGGACCGGGGCACCTGGGGCGTCCATAGCCCGGAGCCCGCAGCGCGCTGGATGCTGCGCTCTGGCCAGAGCCCAGTTGAGTGACAGGGTGGGGGCGGGGCTGCAGGGCGGGGCCACAAGGCTCCGCCCTCGGGCAGCTGTCGCCACCTCTGCCAGGCAGCCTCCCGGGTTCCCCTCGTTGCCACAATTACTCTCTGCTATGTTCCCAGCCCTGGGTGTTTGTCTCTTAGTCCCCGGGGAAACGAAAAAAAAAAACAAAACGGAGGAACCGGATGCTGAACCGCAAGCGCAGCGCATCCCCTTCACCACGTGTGCCTGCATACCCCCAGCTCTGTTAGATTCGTGGTTTCTGCCTCTTCACACTGACAGCCCTTGATTGGCAGGCCCCGCCTACTAGCGAGGACTCTGATTGGACAGCTTCCCCCCCCCCCCCCCCCGTAGACTCCTTAATTGGGGGCTGGCTGTACCCGGCAGCCAGGTTCGCATCCAGCCCTTGCAGCTAGTAGGCCAGTATGGCCTGTTTTCCTCTGGGTTGTAGTCCCTCGGGTCGTTCCCGAGAAGACACCAGAACGTGAGTTGTGTGCGTCCACATAGTTTGCGCCTGGCCCTCGTCAGTGTGGGAATACAGGAATTCTGCTCTCTTCCCGTCCCTACTCGGGTGTTCTGTTGACCCGCACCGTGGAACCGTAGCGCTCCCTGCCGGGAAACGCCTTCTGCAGTGACTTCAGGTGAACAGCCTATTTCCAGGACTGACTCAAAATACATAGGTAGTATTGAGCAAGGCTCAGAGGGGTGAACCCAAGTGACACTGTCGTGACTCTGACAGGTCGAGAGCACCTGGCCCTTCCGTAAACTTTGTAAACCTATAGTCCCCATCTCCACCAAGAAGCGTTCTGGTGTCCTCTGGCTCCGTGTCTTTCACCCCAGGAATTCCACTCCCATCACCATTCAAGTAGCTCTTGGCCGAGTGCTTAATACAAACAAGTACTAGGGATACAGTTGGCTGATGTCACTGTGACATTTTCCTGTTACTATGAGCTGAGGATCTACTTCCAAAAGCAGGCCAGTGGTCAGGGAGTGGGATCCTTGCAGCCTGCCAGCATGAGTGTGAACCTCCAACCTGGAGTTTGGCAGGGCTCAGGGATCTTCTTGACCCTCCCCACCCAGAAGATACCTAATTTGCAAGTTCTCCGCAAGCACTCAGGAAATTTCGCTTTGTGGAGTAAACTACCGACCAGGGAGGTTCCATAAATGTCAGGATTTCTTCTCGTTTTCCCCGCCCCCTCCCCTTTCCGCCAGGAGACGCAAGGCAAAGCCCTACCACCAGAGGGCAGCAGCGACCGCTTGTGGAAACTCAAAAGCCAACCTGGACCGGGAGAGTGGAAACCTGGATCAACCTCCAGCTTTAGGGCAGAGGCCTCTTGTCACTGGATCAAGGAGGGCCCCTTAGACAAAAATTCAGCAAGTCGTTCATTCCTTTCTTACAACTTGTTTATTGAGAAGAAACCATGTTCCTGCCTGTGGGGGAGGCACAGTCTGGAGGAAGCAGTTTGACAGGAGTTCCCAGCACCAGTGAGATCAGCTAAGGGACCAGGGAAGGCTGTGTTTGTTATATTGGGTACAGTTGGGCAGAAGATGTGCCAATGGAAGCAGAAGCGGTGCCCAACTTGGGCACATGTACTGTAGCTTGAAAACCCTCTTCAGGTTTCAGTGGTGAGGGGGAAACAGGCCCAAGGGGTTGTCAAGGTAACAGTTATATCAGGGAGGGCCTGACTGTTGGTTAGAGGGGAAGGAGGGCTGGCTACAAAGGGTCAATAGATGATTCCTGTCAAAACCAGGCAAGGGAGGAAGGGCTGCGGCTATATTAGTGGCCCTTTGAGGATGCTTAAAAAAAAAAAAAAAAAGACAAAAAAAACCTTGGCAGTGGTGGGACACATCTCTAATCCCAACCCAACACCCCCCCCCCCCCCCCCCCCCCCCCCCCCCCCCCCCCCGGCAGAGGCAGGTGGACCTCTGAGTTCAAGGCCAGGCTGGTCTACAAGAGCTAGTTTCAGGACAGGCCACAAAGCTACAGAAGAATCGTGTCTCAAAAAGCAAACAAACAACCAAAACAAAAAAGGAGGGACAAAGCCGGGCGTTGGTGGCGCACGCCTTTAATCCCAGCACTCGGGAGGCAGAGGCAGGCGGATTTCTGTGAGTTCCAGGCCAGCCTGGTCTACAAGAGCTAGTTCCAGGACAGGAACCAAAAAGCTACGGAGAAACCCTGTCTCGAAAATCAAAAAAAAAGGAGGGACAGCAAGCCAAAGGCAAGGTTCCCCAGAGAACATAGAGCAGGCCACTCCAGGGTGGAGCACACAGGTGGGGGTGGCTCGGAGGGCGTTGGGACCCACTTACCTTTGCAAGGATTCCAGGTTTCTTCGGGCTTGGTCCAGAGCCAGGGAGGCTGGCTGGCTACATGTGCCAGAGGAGAAAATTCACTTAGAAGGAAAAAGTGCTTGTTCTGCTACATATAGCCAAGAGAGGGCTCCCGACTTTCCACAGATCCCCGAGACCTGTGTCTGCACTCTCCATCCTCAGAGAAAGTCTGCAGGAGGCCTCAGAGAGGAAGTGACTGAAAGCGAATGATTCTGGCTCAGGTGGGTTCAGGGTACCTGCCGCTACTGGTTTCAGCCTGCCCTACCCACCCACCCCAGCTTCAACAGGAGGCTGGCAGAACCCCAGGACTAGCAGGCCTGGAGTGCTGGATTTGGACCCAGCTCTCATGGTGATGGTGGGGCTGGATCTGTGTAGCTAAAAATACCCAGGAATCCAGCCAGCTGCTGTTTAGAGCCTCCTCAGAGGTCAGGCCAGGCCAGGCCGGTCTAGCTGAGGAGATAAGACTCACCCACACAGGGTGGCTTATTCCCTCACCAGCAATGTTCTGGGGGCCCTGGGTCACTCTCTGATTCTCCAGGAATTCCTGGAAAGTGTAGGAGAGGGAGAGATTCCTTCAGTTGCTTCTTGCCACAAAATCCCTCAGGGAGCCACAGGATGGTCTCGGGAAGACTAAGCCACAGAGGCCAACAGGGAATGAGTCAAGGACAGCAGAGGCAGGGTACCTTCAGTCTTTCAGGACAAAGTACAAATTTGGATGGGAGAGGCTGAGGGCACCACTCCCCTACTCAGAGGCCCCATAAATCAATTATTTAGCTATCCAAATGTAGATGGTATCAATAGCAGTGAGAGATAAAGACTCAGGTTCTACTTAACAGATAAAGGGGTGGGGGGGGTGTGAAGTCAAGGTGCCTAGGGGTGCTATCTTAGCCTCTGGTCTAGGCAGTCTTCCTCCAGGTCCCAGCTGCCTAACAGCTCTAAGGAACCAGTGGAGGATGGGCAAGTCATTTCTAGAGGCCAGGCTGGAAAAACGGCTTAAGTTGGGCACAAAGGATTGTGGTTCCAGCCTGTCAAGAGGACTAGCTGGGACGTGGCAAGACCCTCTTCTGTTAGAAATAGCCCACACGGTTGTTCGACTTCCCCTCCTCCTTTCCACCCGCAGTAACTTGCCTGAGAGCATAGAACAGTCTGTGAAAACACTGGGGGCAGGTGATGGTGGGGTGTTCCTAGCCATCTTGACTACTGTCTCCACAAGAGTGTCTAAAAGGTCATATTCCAAACGAGGGCTCCAGGCCAGGTGGAGGAGACGGAAGGGGCGGGGACACGGGAGTCTGTGTAGTGAAGCTAGTCCAGCCACCTCCCAGCTCAGGCAGTCCTTCCGCTGGCGTGGCCCTCTCTCAGCAGGCCAAAGCAGCCCCGCCCCAAGCTCAGTGGGTGACCAGTGGGCGGGGCACCCCTCAAGGCCAGGAACAACAGCCGCACAAACTGCTCCACCCTACTGCCCAGGAGGAGATAAGGGGGCTAAAGAAAGAGAGAGGGAGAGGGAGAGGGAGAGAGAGAGAGAGAGAGAGAGAGAGAGAGAGAGAGAGAGAGGGAGAGAGAGAGAGAGGGAGAGAGAGAGAGAGAGAGCGCGAGCCCGAAACCGGAGGTGAAAGAGCTTGAGGTGGAAATGGGTCGCCAAGTTGGCCCTGTCACTTCTGTCTTTCCCTTTCAAGATTCACACCACACAGTTTAGCACCTAATTGTTCTCCAAAGTCTATAGCCCTCCAGGGTACAGCTGACACAGCGCGACTTAGTCAATTACTTAGTCTGAGGCTGGAGGAGATAAAGACCCCAGACCCAAGGACTTTAGCCAGAAAAGCAGGTCCCTTAGAAGGACCAAGTGGCTTACAAGGTCCGTATCAACCCAATCAACTTAGAAAGTGCTTTTCCTGCCTTTTCCCATTCGGGGCGAAGAGTTCAGCCCTCCCAGCACAAAGCAAGCTCACCCAGAGCTGGAAGCCTGGCCCTCGGGACAGGCGGGAGCCACAGACCACTCTGGTTCCCCGCTATCACACAGCTCTCTGACAGTGATGGCAGCAGACAGCTGGAACGGGAGGGTGCCTAAAATAGCCCAGACAGCTGAGCAAGGGGGTTGTCAGGGGCCCAGGCTCTGGGCTGAAAACCCAAGATAACCTGGAATCCTGTCTGCCGTGGCCTCAGAACCTTGGGTGAGCTGTTTCTTTTCTTGGGGTCACTAGTGGGTAACCCTGAAAAATCGTGATCCACTACAGAACAGCCCACTGAACCTGAACAGCCCGGACTGAAAACCGCACTGAAAGAAAAACAGCTGGCCGCCTTCCCAAGCAGAGCCAGTTTTCGTTCTCCTTTGCCTGGAGGCTCCGGCACGTGCTTAAGGAAGTGGGCTGGCGGGGAGGAGCCCAAGACACAGCCCAGCCCCCACCCACGCAGCCACTCCCAGCAACAATCCCTATCGTCCCGGAGGCCAGAGCAGGAGAGAGGCCCCCTTAATCGCCATTAATCCTCCCATCAACCTTTTCCAGCAGTTATGATCCTTTTACGGGGGTGGGGAGGGAGGGGAACGGAACACGACGGCACCACTGGTCCAAGGTCACTAGCTCACAGCTGCCAGGCTTCAATCATCCCCCGACTGGGCACTAACCTGCCTTCAACAACCCCTCCATGAAGCCTGCCAGGCTCCCCAAGCCACACTCCAGCACTCACTGTGGGGGTGACGAACAAGGGGAAGAAGCTGGAAGCTTAGGCCAAAACAGGGGGAGCACCTGCAGCCAAAAGGCTCATCAAAGTAAGAGCTAACTAGGAGCACTCTTGTGGGGGTAGGGGTCAGAGATCAAGGGCCACACCACTTTCAGCTGTGAAGTTTCCTGGGCCTGAGGAGGGCTAGCCAACTGGAGCTACACAGATGGAGAATATCCCAGGTGTTACCTAGCAGGGAAAGTCTGGAAAACTGGCAGTGCCTGGGACCCTAAGTCTTAGATGCACCTTCTGAATGAGACACGTAAGAGCCAGGCACAGTGAGGTTAAATGAGTTCCCCTTCTGACTTAGGATACCTGCCTAATTTTTGCAGCTAAGGAGACGGCTCGCAGACCGTGTTGAGTATGCACGATAAACACTCGTAAAAAGCCCGTCTGCTTCACAGCCAGCTTTGTACGGTTCTAGAAGCCAGGCTATCAACAACCTGGCCTTGTTGGGAGCTAGAAGGCCACTGTGAGAATCCAGGAAAAGTCAAGGAAACCTTTTCTCTGGGAAGGTTGCCTAAGATTTCAGGTTTTTTGGTTCTTTGTCTAGCCAGCAAGCCAGACATCAGGGTGGCTCATTTGGCCACCCTAATGGGACTCAGGAGAAATGGCTGAGGCACCACCGGCAAGCCTGGCAGCAGTCAATGCCTTCAGAAGCTTCCAGGACCTTCCCACCCACCATAAAACACACGACTAGGAAATACTTCGTAGTCCTGCTCTAGTAAGTTGCTAAATTCGGCAGAGAATCGCCCGCCCTAAACGCCTGACAACAGAGGTTGACAGGCGGGGCTGGATGGACCCAGCAGGCCGCCCATTTCACACACAGACACAACCGCCACATCAGCGTGGGGGAGGGGCTGCTGAACCAGCCCAGCGAGTTTGGGGATCCCAACCCGCCCTTCGAAGGCCGCAGGCCAAAGCCCCCTGATGTAGTTCTCTCAACTTGGGAAAAGGGCTCTTACCTACCTTAGTGGGCAAGCTGTCAGTCAAATTAGGCCTGTTCCAGAGGTCCAGAGGAGGCAAGGATTGTCTACTGTGGGGAGAACCGAGACATTACTCCGGGCTCCGGGCAAGACCTGTGAATTCGGACGATCTGTTAGGGCAGTCCCACAGTTTGTAGGTCAGAGAATGGATCGGCCAAACGCAAACCAACAGGGTCTACTAGATAGAAAGGGAGCCTCAGAAGTGCTGCCCCCCCCTTTCCAGCTGACAAGGCAGCCCTCACTCTGGAATGGGTGGGGGTGGGGTGGGGGTGGCTGAGTCACTAAGGTTCAGCCCGGGCGACGAGCAGCAGGAGACGGCTCATCTGCATTTCCAAAGGCCCGCCCTGTCCGCATCCCCTCCCCCAGGAAGGCTGAGATCTAAGGCTTCACCCTCGGGCACTGTCACGGGAGGGGGGGGTTCCCGAGGGGGAGGCCCCAATCGGCTTTCCCAGGCCCCAACCGCCCCCCTCCTCCAACACACACACACCTCCAACCCGCAGAGCTGGGTTGGAGGCTGAGCCCCTGGCGACCAAGTAAAGGGACTCAGGCACCGCAAGGGCCTCTATCCCAAAGTGGGGGGACAAAAGGGGAGACCCGCCCCTCCGGCTCGGCTATCAAAGAACGACTGGGGGAGGCAGGGGTGGGTCTCCTGAAGCCGAGTGGGCAGTGAAGGGAGGCTTGGGCCAGCCTCTTAGCCCTTGGCTACTTGGCTTCTGTTTCGAGGCAGAACAGCAGGGACAGCAGCCAGAGCGAGGCCTCGTGCCCTCCTGGGCCATGGAGTCCGGGGCTTCAGCGGAGATCAGGGTCCTCAACCCGCCTCCAGCGGCTCGCCCTGCCCTGCTCCGGCTCCTCCCGCGGCCGCCTCACCCGGAGGCAGGCAGGCGGGCGGGGATGGGGTGGGTGGGCGAGTGCTGGAACTGTGGTACGCGACGCCCCGGAGGCCCAAGGCCCCCAGAGACCCGTCACCAGCATCCCGGGTGCCTTGCCTTGCAGGCTCTTAGGACCCGGGACTGCCTCCCAGCGACAACCGGGGAAAGACAATGGCGGAAGGAAGGAGGAGAGCCGGCCGCCATTAGCCACCGCAGCCTTGAGCAGCCGGGCGGCCCCAGCCTTGGCCCCAACCCGACCCAGCCTGCGGCTCGGCTCAAAACCTGAAAATAAAACTCATGTTTGGGAGGGAGGAGCGAGCGCGGCCGGGAGGACAGGCAGCGCCCGGCTGCAGGCGGGAGAGATGCTGCGTCATGGTGCCAACATGGACGCCGGCCTTTTGTCCTTTTTCTCTTTGGAAGAGCAGGCGAGCCCCGGAGCCCCGAAAAGCTGATTTAAGGGTGCAGAAACCGCACAATCAAATGGGAACGAAACCTTAGGATGGGTGGGATGGTTTCCTCGCTCTTTCAGCCCCTCCATCTCCAAAGCACTTCAATTTCTTCTCTGCCACCAAGGTTCAGACCCGAGGCGAGCCAAAGGGACTATCGCAGACAGCTCCATGGATGTTCCAGGGTACTGGGGAGATGCTCCCTTCGCCTTTGGGGCAGAAGAGGCAAAGGGGTCTGGAGAGTCTTTGTCCCCTCATCCGCCCACTGTCACCGGTTGCCAAACTCAAAGCTCCAGAAACCTCAGCTCCCATCACCTACAGCCCATGGCCTGCTCAATCAAGAGTTCCTCGAAGGGGGCAAAGGCACTTAAATTTTTTTTAAGAATTATTTTAGTTTTTTACTTACCCGCTCAGCCCGGTGCCATGGAGTCTAGAAGAAAAAATTGGGCGGTGTTTTTGGAGTTGTTATTATGAAAAGAAAGGTTTTGTTTTTGTTGTTTTGGTTATTTAGTTGGGAAAAAAAATCTGGGGAAATAGTGTTCTTTTGTTGTTACCTTTTTGTAAGTTACACTCAGTATTTTCTGCTCCTTCCACGACTGCAAACTTTCCAGGGTTGGGCTGGCAAAAAGGCGGCTTCGCTGTGGACTGTTTACTGCTCTGGATTTAGCAATGGTGTGATCATTAAGAAACAAAAGGCGAAAACACGGTCAAATCAAACAAAAGGCAAAATAGCTCACCAGCCATCCCAACCACCATAGAAAATAGCACCGGGTCAACGTAGGTGTTTGGCTTGCACCAGCTAGGACTTGTTTTCCAGTTTTAATCTAGTTTTCAGTGACGGCTTTGAGTCTTTGTAAAGAAAGACTTCCTTTCTCTCAGTCGTCCCCCCCCCCCCCCAGTCGAGAAAAACAGCTGTTTTTCTTCAAAATAGATCGATTTTCAAAGAAAGTGTATACGAGTTACTGGGAAGAAATCGGAGCAGCATCTATTGCTGTAAACATTTTTCAAAAAGCTTGAACTAAAAACCGTAGCTTTATAAAAGCAAACGTTTAAAAGCATTTTAACTGACTTACATCAGACAGAGACAAAGACATACATGCAGATGAATATTCCGAAAATTCAGGACATTTCAGGCGACAGTAACATGAAAACTGCAGTCCAGGAAGGACAGAATGGATTGGGTACTTACAATGTAAAAGGTTTTTAGACAATTTAACAGTAACAGCTCACAATATTTTTTGTTGCTGCTATTTCGCTACTCCAACTATACATTTAAAACATTACCTTGTTAAAAAGTAGTTAATAAGATGACCAGGTTAAGTGTTTAATAGAGGAAATTATATTTAAAAATTTATTGTTCAGTCAAGAGAATACAGATTAAGACAGTTCCAAGCTCTCCCCCCACCCAAGAAAAAAAGAGGAAAAAAATATGTCATTTACTTAGGTTTTTTTGAATTTAAAACTGTTAACTGCTGACATTAATAGTGTGCTATGACCTAGTTATACAAGACAAAGATGGATTCCAAATCATAAGGAAAAATCCAGATCTTTTTAAAAGGTCTTCTTCATTCTTCCAAGTGTGAGTCCTTTGGCAAATGTTAAACACATTCAGGCGTCCTGAACTGGATGGTGGAGTCAAAGGAAAAGCATTCCCCATTTGCAACAAAGGAAAAACCCACTTGGCCATTTAATTCCATTGCAGAAAAATGGCTCCCCTCATCTGTTGGCCTCTCCTTGGAGTCTGATGAAGGATGTTTTGAGATCAGCGTCTAATAACTCAAGCCCTATAGAAGCCGTGTGCTGATTGGTTGCCGCGCCCTGCCGCCCTGCTCCAGCCAATTACCTACCCACGGCCAAATTACAAACCCCGAAAAGAGCCCCAATATGAAATACACCACCACGAAGCCCCAGCGAGGCGGCTGCTTCGTGTCGGCAGTCCGAGAAGAGAGACCGAGGGGTCTGCAAACATATCCACGCGAAGCCGGGAAAGCCTCCGAGTTGAACTCACAAAATGGAAGCCGAGCGCTGATTGGCCGCCGCCACTCCCGGACCTTTAATAAAGAAAGGGGAAGGAAAATGATAAATGCAAAAAAGGGGACTCTCTGTCGCTGGTGCCTGGAGGAAGAAGCATGTGTTCAGGACAATTACTGGGCGCTCCCCTCCAAAAAATAAAAACAGAAAGGAAAAAAAAGAGAGAAAAAAAGCTATCTTCCACGTCCAGGCGAGGGCTGTATCCTCCCAGGAATGTGAAGGCTAATGTGGTTCCAAATCTTGGTTTCCCCTCCCCAGTACTGCTCCAGGGAGGGAGGGGGTGTGCGGGCCGAAGAGGAAGCGGGTTCGGAGATACCTCGATTGCAACTCGTTTGGGGTCGACGTCTGCCTCCCCAGGCTCCTAGTATTCAAACACACAATCGCCCCCCTCCAAACCCAGCCCTTTCGCCGAGTCTCCACGCGCCCACCTCCAGTCTGGGCAGTTTGGAAACAGTTTGGGAGGCCCCGGGGGCGCACGCCGTGAAGTGCCCGGTAGCTGGAAGGGTAGCCCCAGCCGCGGGAGGTAGAAGGCCGAAGAGACCCCCCTATCCCCCGCCAAGCCAAGCCCCCCACCTCAGTCCCAGCAGAATAAATAAATTAAAAGGCCTTCCCCCCGGGGAGGGGGGGGAGGCAGTGTGGGAGCGCGCGAGTGAGGGGTGGGGGGCCGCTGGGGCCCGGGGCTTTGGCGGCGCAGCTGCCGCCGCCGGGAGAGTGCCTGGGGAAGCGGCGAGGAAGGCGAGGGGAGGAGGAAGAGGAGGAGGAGGAGGAAGAGGAGGAGGGTGAGCGCTCGGGTCGGGCTCCTTAGCGGTGTATTGTGGGATGTGCGGCTACTGGGAGCCGAGCCTCCGCCGCCAGCCGCCTCCCGGGCAGCAGCAGGAGCAGCAGCGGCAGCAGCAGCGGCGGCAGCAAGGGCAGCGACAGTCCGGGGCCCGGCAGCCGCTAAGGCGGCGTCCCCCCCATCCCGGCCCCCGGTCCGGCCGCCCCGGCCTCGGCTCCCGCGGGGGACACCATGTACTGGCTGGCGGCGCAGGGAGGCCGGCGCCCGGCGGGGATGTAAGCACGGCTGGGGAGGGAGAGAGGCCGAGGCTAGAACAGCCGGGCGGCCCGAGCCCCCGGCCCCCGCCCCGACGGGCGACGCCAGGCCTGCCGCGCGCCCCGAGCCCGAGCCGGGCCGAGCGCCACGCCGGGCGGCCGGCAGCACCATGGGCCGGAGCCCGCGTCCTCCGTGCGCCCCGGACCGCGCCAGCCCGCAGCGGGGGCCCTGGGCAGCCCCTCGCTGGCAGCCGGAGACGGTGGCCGAGCGGGCGGGCGCGTAAATCCTCCGGAAAGGGTTTATTCTCTCGCTACATTCTTATTTTTTTTCGTGGGGGGGGGGGAGCCAGCCAGACAAGCTTTCGGGGCGCGCTGGTAAGGTGGGAGGGGGTGGGGGCCAGCCGAATGGATTCTTTGGCGAATGTGTAGAAGCGGCGGAGAGGACAACAACTTGCTGGTTTTCAGGTTGGGTTAACGGCATGGAGAACAGTCACCCCCACCACCACCACCAGCAGCCCCCGCCGCAGCCCGGCCCTTCGGGCGAGAGGAGGAACCACCATTGGAGAAGTTACAAGTTGATGATTGACCCGGCTCTGAAAAAGGGGCACCATAAACTGTACCGCTACGATGGGCAGCATTTCAGCCTGGCGGTGAGTAGCCGACGCGCCTTCCCGCCACCCCCACCCCATCCCCAGTGGAGCCCCCAGACAGAGGCGAACGGAGGGGGACCCCCTCTCCCAGCCACCTGGCCAACTGTCAGCCAGGGCTCCCCCCTCAGCCTGGAGTGGGACTGGTGCCTGGAGACGGGGGCGGGGGGGAGGTGGTCTGCCCCTGTCCCTGGGGAGGGTGCCAGCCTTCCATACTGAGCCCCCTATCCCTGTCCACAGATGTCCAGCAACCGCCCGGTGGAAATCGTGGAAGATCCCCGGGTGGTCGGAATATGGACCAAAACCAAGGAACTGGAGCTGTCGGTACCCAAATTCAAGGTAGGACCCCTCCTCTCTGTCTTATGGTCCCTCCCCCCTTCTCCGAGTTCGAAAATAACGCCAGTCCTGACCAAGCCCAGCCGGATTCTGAGTTCCCGCCGTCCAGGGTTGGCAAGTTTTGGCGGGGAGGGGGGAGAGTGGTGTCCCCTCCCGGCCACTGTAAACAAAATAACACTTGGAGAAACTGTAACGAGGGCGCTGATACAGCGTCCTGCCGGCGGAGCTGGGGGCTCTGGGTCCCTACCTGGGTCCTTGTGCACCCAGGGGCCTGGTTCAGGGACCCGCCCCCTTTCCCATCCCTTTGGCTTTAAAGGGGGCTACTTCCTAGACTAGGGGGTCGTTCCGGAACCAGCAGTAAGGACAGGAGGCCAGAATAGGGGGTGGGGAAAGAGAAACTGTTTCTTTTTCCCCTTTCCTTTCGAACCCAGAGGACTTCCAGGTTCCAAACGATTTAATCCTCCGCTTCTCAGGCCCGCCCGCATGCTTTTTTTTTTCTTTTTCAAAAAAAATTCAATTTTTTTCACCCTTTATTGTTTTTAACTGCTGGGCAAGTGAGGAGTGTTGTGTTTTTCTTTGGTTTTAATGTTTTCCAAACTCCCTTCCCCCGCGGCCCCTGCCAGATCGATGAGTTCTACGTGGGCCCTGTGCCTCCAAAGCAGGTGACATTTGCCAAGCTGAATGACAACATCCGTGAAAACTTCCTAAGGGACATGTGCAAAAAGTATGGGGAGGTGGAGGAGGTGGAGATTTTGTATAATCCGAAGACCAAGAAACACCTGGGTATTGCCAAGGTGGTCTTTGCCACGGTCAGGGGCGCCAAGGAGGCCGTCCAACACTTACATAGCACGTCTGTCATGGGCAACATCATCCACGTGGAGCTGGACACCAAAGGTTAGTAGAGGCCTGTTGGCCGTCCGTGGGGGAGGAGCTGGAAGGCCACCTGTCAGCCTGACTCCCTTCAGAGTTAGGAGAACCCTCTACTGTCACCTCTTCCTTGGGATCCCCCCCCCATCACCTTATTTATTTTTTGTCCCCTCCGGATGGCAGAGTCACATGGAACCAAATGTGTTGTCTGTTGCTAGGAGACAGGCTATAATTTACCAAATGTGCCAGTCCTTGGCCACTGCACCCTTAGGGACCACCCAGAGATTTCCCCACCTATGACACCCCTGTGGGCCCCTCTCTGAGCCCCAGTGGCCTGGGTTTAGACAGTCCCTAGTGTTAATGCCTGTGTTAGGGGAGAAGGAAGCATTTGTTTACTTGTAGGAGGCAGAGGAAGGATTAAATTCATAAGTCATTCCTTAAGGATCTAGGGTGCCATGCCCCCCCCAACCCCTACCGGTGCCCCTTCCCTGAACCAATCTGAGCCCTGAAGTGTTTCATTGATAATGTTCTGATAGCACTGATAGTGGATCTTGGGGGCGGGCTGCTCAGGGTGCTCTAGGGTTGACACTTGTCTTCCCTCCTCTCTCTTAAAGAGACAGCAGCACCTTGGTCTGCTCTACCCGGCCTGGGAGCCACACCTCCTAACTCCAGGGTTGCTGACTCCTTCCCTCAGTGCTGGCTCAAGACTCAGAGGGCATTCCCCCTAAGTCTGCTTGTGTCTTTTTTGAGGGATTCCTACCAATCTGAAGGAAAGAGCAGGGTGCCCTGGAACCAGGGAGTCCCTAGTCCCGCAGCCAGCTGTCGGACTGTTAAAGGCCAGAGTTTGGGAGTGGGGGTGGCACACTGGTGAACCCTGCCTGAGGGGATTTCGGTCCAGCTCCAGGGGTTTTGTGAGCTTTAGGTTTGCGAGTGTCTGAGCACACCAAAGGCAGGAG